CCCTGCTGGCTGTAGTAGACAGCATCCGGTGCTTTGGAGCAACAGGAAGTGTGTGTCTCTTCATAACAAGCTCTCAAAAGTAAGCAGGATCTGAGCGAGGTGTTTAGGCGTTTGATCTTTTTTCCAGCTGCAAGTGTTGCAATTTACCCAAAAGTGCTGCTGGAAAAAGTTGCTCAGTCTGAACTTCGTAAACGTTTTCATCATCTGCGTTTCAGCCCCATAACTGCCCGGTTATAAATGGCTACAGTTTCCCTTTGTCAGCACATTAATAACAACAAACCCCTCCTGGCAGACACCATGTGATGTAAGCTAAAACATGCTGATTGTGAACACATATGGGACACATCCACATGTATAGACCTGGCCTCAGCAGAATCACCCCACCCCCACAGCTCATTGTATGTTCTCCCCTCTCATGTGCTGAGCTGCTCTTTTTTTTTTTACATCAACTATTTAAGTTCTCCAAGGTTAAGATCCATTGTGAGAAAAGATTCAGACACAATGATGCAGATGTAAAACAGGAACAGTTCAAGCCTACAGAGTTATGACAAATGCCAAAGGGAGGGAACCTTGTTAGAAAGGGGGACAGTTTTATTGCCTCTGGACGTGTAATTCCTAAGAGTTGAATGCAGGGTGCAGAACTCTAGACTGCACAGTTCTGCGTCTGGAAAAGATGGAGATAACAAGATGGTTTTGCTTCAGGATTCCAGGCACGAATGTTTATTTTTGTTGGAAACATAACTGTCTGTGGCTAGAAATTGGAAGAACATTTTTACCCGCCAGACTGCCAGTAAGCTCACAGACAGCTGTTACCACCCTCTTGTGGTGACCTAATGAATTCGCTTTTCTCGCAACATGAAGCGACTGAATAAACTTGGTGAGGAGAAGCTTTTTTTCCACATTCAGGGTGTTCGTACACTGCAAATACGCAGCACTGTCACAAAGCCTGACTTCATGCGGAGAGCACAATGGAGTCAAACATTGGTTATCATGTAGCTTCAGCAGTGTGGCAATGACAGTAAAGAAGAAAAAGTCAGGAGAAAGATGTAACGGCGCCAGTGTTTGGATGAGCAAAATATAGAGACATAAGATAACACTGACAGGGTATTGACATGAACCCTACATGTCACACAATGGGGAATACTAGCCACTCGGTACTAAAGGTACTGTTGTGAATCAGATGATTTCCTTTAAGACCAATAGTATCTCTCTATCAATAAACATATACACACAAACCTTCCTCCTCTCACTATTCGCCTGCATGGTTCCACTTCAGGCCTAGGTTCTGTATCAGTGATTTGAAGTTTTTTTTTTTTTGTTTGTGTGTGTGTCAAATCTTAGCTGTTCATAGGATGGCACTGTTACCAATTGAGGTATTAAAAGTCGATGCTGAAATCTTTTATTTCAGGTTTTCTTGTGCACCTACAACCACTGGCACCACCAAGGCCTTGACTCTCCGCAACTTTTCTATTTGTGGAGAGTCAGGCAACATAAGTGCTTGCTTGCTTCTAATGTTTCTTTTTCTTGCTATTCCTTGGCATTCCGATATATAGCAATATGGCTCACTGCTTTGTCTACAATCTCAGGTCCAGTTGGATAACCATCACCTGTGCCTGGATCTAAAAGTCCCTCAGGATCTTGTACTTATAGTTCTCAGCCGATCTTGGCTTTGTCTTGCAGTTTTTCTGTGCTGCCTCCAGCCTATCCTCAACACAGACAGTCCATACATTGCTCCAGCTACTTAGTTATAGAGCCACATGTACCATTTGCCTGTCAGTATCTTTTGGCCATCTATTTTGTGTTTAGTCCTGTTTCTTATGGCAGACCCCAGCATCTTTTGCTGAAAGCCTGTTTCTCTGCAGCCACGATTCGTGGTGCTGTTCTGTCTTTAAATCCAGCCCTTTCTGTAGGCAAGCAAAGAAAGTTAATCCAGCACAAATGATTCCCGGCTGAACTCACCTTCCCAGCTACATGCCATTCTAAAACAGACAAAACTAATATAGTACCAAACAGTGGATACAAACTCCGGCAGCTGAACTATGACGCTGTTCCCATTCTAAACTTAGAAAGGTTCGAAATAGATATTGTGACTCACTCCTACTGCATTCAGTAGACTGAAAGAGACGACTCTTCAAAAAAACTGGCACCATTTTAGGTTTTTTGACCACTTAAGACCTAGCTATATATTAAACTTCTCTTACTTACTTCTGTCCACAGATGAACTAAAGCAAGATTTAACCATCATGGCTGAGAAGTGATTTGGAAGAAAGTGAAGCAAGTCTGTTTTTCCTCTGCAATTGGCAAAAGAAAAATTGGATGCATTTCAGCAAACCTAACCTTTTGAACAAAATGTAAACATTCAAAGATAAGTAACAGCTACAAACAAGCTCTAAGTTGCTATAAAAATTCCTCGTTTCAGATTAGAATTGATAAATCGAATAAACTTTCACTCTAATTTTAATCATTTTAAGAGGCCCCTTCAAAGAAAAAAACACATGTTGAGTGTTTCATCACAAGTAGACCCTGTGAGGGCCTCCAGGGTCTAGTTTAGTAAATATGCAAACACCGTGGGATAAAATGTTGGCAAAAAAAATCTCTGTGAAATTGTGAATTTCCATTGAGAAATAATCTAACATGTTGATTTAAATATTTACTAAATTTTCTTTAGCTATTTGAATGCAAGCAAAGCCAAACATATGGATAACTTTTTAAGGAGAAAATATGCAAAATGTAAAACTCGCAAAGTTTAAATTAGATTTTGATGTTACAAATCAAACATATGTTTTACTTTTAAATGGACAAATTACATTGTTTTTCTGCTGGAATCAGGTCGATCACCAAAGACTGAACTTTGGTTGTCAGTGAACGAGAGCATCTGGCTGGCTCTCAGGGGTCACATCTTCTGGAGCGTGTACTGTATGGGAAAAAGTGATAACAGTACAGATGTTCTGTGGATTTTCTGCAATCCTGCTGATGTGGAGGAGACTATTCCTTAAAACCAGGGAGGCTAAATAAATCAAAACAGACTGATAACCAAGACTTTGGCGGTACGACTACATCTATGTGAACCAGGTGGCTACATTTATTATTGTGTTCTCCATTTACGGGTAAATTTATATCAGCAAAACTGGAAGAACAAAAACAGTTCAACTCAGGTGAGCTGAACTACCCCATAAGAGTTTCTGATGGACTCATCCATCCTGAAAACCTGGCCAGCAGAATTCAAAAGTTACACGTTTCTTGTTAAACCTGAGCAGAAGGATTTAGAGGCACAAGCTGATCTTTAGCATGTGGGCCTTGTTGGCACTCACTTTGGGACTTGCTGCTGGAGCATTAGGGAGCAGCAACAAGACGGCAGCTGAGGAACGGCTTAATATAGCCAGAGCTAAACTGATGGTGAGTGGGACTAAAAAGAATAGAACACACACAGATCACTTTGAAAAATCACCTAGGTTTACTTTTCAACAAAAAGTTTCAACAAAAGTTTTTGCAAAACTTCTTGCTGAGAATGTGTTACATTAAAACAATGATCTCTGCATTAAAGAAAAAAAGAAGAAGGATAAGTACAACAAAGAATGAGCTGCAGGTTGTTTCCAGTTCAGATTAAAGAGCAATGTTCACACAATGAAATACACACATATACACACACACGCACGCACGCACACACACACCAGTTTGAACAACTGTCTGTTGTCAATTTTGCAGGCACCCAGTGTGGTTGGATGAGCCATAAAGAAAATGCCTGAGCTCCATCACTTCCTCATGGAGCGATCGGCTTTATAGTATCCTTCTGCTTCTGTCACATTCCTACATTTTCTTGTTGAGACATGGCTTCAAGCTGTTGGCTAAGTCCTGTCCCAGATATGTGAGCTTTCCAAAAGTATTGTGCTCCAAGTCTTATCAGCCTGAGTCAACTGAAACAGATAGATGTGTTGCCTACCTGTTGTTTTCCCTGATCTGTTTTTTGCCATACAGCCATAACTTAGAGTATGACTCATCAGAGGAGAAGAAGCCCCGTCTGATATTTTACAATGAAAAGGATGAGGTTGTAAAGGTAAGATTTGCATTTCAGAGGCACATCTTGGAGGTCCCTGACAAAATCCTGGGGTGAGGGGGTTTCTGCCTGGAGTTTGCATATTCCACCTGTGCATGTGTGGGTTCTGTCTGGGTACTTCGGTTTCCTCTCACAGTCCACTGCTGTGTGACGGCCTGGCGATCTGTGCAGGCTACACCCTGGCTCTCACCCAATGACTGCTAATAAAGATCCTCCACTTTGATTTATGAATAAAGAAACCTTTTACTGTTTTTTACCTACTAATTTCTGTCAAAACATGAAAGTGTTTCAATATGATTTCCAGTATTTAACCGACAGAGTTCCAACTGAACCCTTAGCTGTGTGAAGCTGATATGTCCTTGCTTTTGTTTCTTCTCTCTGTTTCCTGAAACATCAGACTGTCCCCGTGAAGAACATGAAGGCAGATGAGATCAGCAGCCTGTTGGAGTCTCTTGGTTTCTATAAGAGGTCCCAGAAAGGGGAAAAAGTGCCAGAGGAGTTCCAGAACTTCCCCCTGCACGCACCAAGGGACGAGCTGTGATGACCCCATGTGGCCAAACTTTGCATCTGCAACCCAGCTGCATTAATGATGAGTGGGGCTAAAAGGCAACACTGTTACAGCCAGGCCCCATTCTGAGGACTCGCTGGCTGGACGCAGTGTGGAGAGTGTTAGGCACACTTGAGGCTTACTGTTTGTTTACACACTTAAATAAAAATTACAAAAACACAAATACCTAGATTCCATTTTTATCTGTTCATTGTACCAAATTGCCAGGAACAAAGCAGCATAAATTGCCAGTGTTGTCGCTGTTGTCCCTATGTGAACTCAGTGGTACTCAAATAGCAATTTATTCCCAAAGCATATAAACAGATTTACTCATGAAAAATACCCACTAACAGACAAAGTATAATGCCAATGTTTCAGACTAATCCTCAGCACGCCTCCCTCTTGGTAATCTGATTAGCAGTAGCATTGGACTGTCTGTCTCTGTGTAGCCATTACAACCTCTACTGTGCATTTATAGTATTGAGGACAACAGGAATTAGCTGCAGACCCAGACGCAGACGCCACAATTAAAGTGTTTGGATTGTTAGTTCTGCCATGACCAACGGTTTGAGCCGCCATGCCTGTGTTTTACTCGCCTGTACCGGAGAACCTGCAGATGGGCCTTGCCTACATGGGAGGCTCCGTGTTCACAAACAACAGGACAATGGACAGTGACTTCAACAGGGAGCAGGAGGATGCATCTGGTTCGTTCAACACTCAGCACCAATGGTTTTTACGTCAGTCTGGCAAATTAATACGGTTTATAATTCCTGTTTTTAACATTACAGACACTACTCTGCTCTTTTACAAGCACCACTCTACAACTACCAAGTTTAGGAGTTTCTATTGGATAAAATCCAGGATGACTAGAGCAGTTCATATCTTGAATGTGCACAAAAAAATCCAAGAGCAGCTTGGTGCAATTTGACATAGGTAGCAGTTCTGTTGATGAAATCTAAACAAGTTGAGGTATTTTTTATCCAATATTTAAACTGTAGAAGAACCAAATGTTCTTTAAAATAATTTATGGTCTGACAAAACATGTTACTGAAGAGATGTATTATATTAAGGATATCATTATCTCTAGCTAGATAATGGCTTTCAGATTATTAAAAGTCAACAAATACACTGTTTCTTTATTTGAATCACCATATGCATATGAGCATGAAGCATAGCATGTAGCATAGCATGTAGCATAGCATGTAGCATAGCATGTAGCATAGCATGCATCAGCCACTCATGTTGTTTCAGCTCATGAACTTGAGGTTAAACTTCTTTATGCACTCATGAATAGCGTAGCCAATAAAGTTACCTGCATAATTTATATGAATGTACAGTTTAATGTTTTTGTGAGAGATTAAAGTAGATTTAATAGAACTCATTGTGACAAATGCCATGTGTAGCAAAAACACATTCTTGTATTTTCACATCATTATAACTGTATTTTCAGTTAACTAAATTCACTCAAAACTAAACATATAAAAATTCACCTTTACATGTTTTAAAATTTCTTGTAGTTACATGAGATTGGGATATTTTTATGATTCAAAACTTACACATTACTCCTCTTTGGGTTAGGATTGCAAACAGATTATTCCACATGCAATTCCCTACAAACCTCACTTATTTTAATGTTGCTGTAAAAATATCTAAAATTCCCTGAATTTTCTTTTTCAGTGGTCAACGAGTTGGTTTCTCACCTTCCTCTTCAAATGCTCTTGTACTTCAACCTGTTTTACTTTCCTTGTTGGTGGTTTTCTGCTGTGTTCATGTTGGAAGTGAAAGTAAGTATTTGGAAAATCACTATAGATCTTAATCATTTCTCAAAACAAATTTCAGACAGAAATAACTGCATTAAATGGAAACAAGTAAAGAAATAATTTTTAATTTATAAACGTATAAATAGCATTGCACTCTAAGTTGTAGGCCTTTTAGGTGACATCAAAAACCCTAAAAACTGTGAACCTCCAGTCACATAAAGTCAGTCAAACATATCTTACAACAAGTGACACAACATGTTTTGCACAGGTTACAAATAGATAGAAAGATACAAAAACATAGTATTTGCCAAACTAAGTAAATATCACACACACAAAAAAAATAGAAAATGTAAAATCCTAAACTTCCAAATATGTAAAATGCCATATTATTCTGATTTCAAATAAAAGGCTTTCATTGTACCCCTCCCGACCCCACTAAGGGACAAGGGTGTAAAGAAAATGGATGGATGGATGGATGGATGGATGGATGGATGGATGGATTTAATTGTGGCACCACCTAGTGGTTTCCCCTAAAAAAGTATTTTCATGTTGTGACTCTCCTCACTTTTACTCAATAAAATTGTCCTTAAACCACAATAAACTTTATTAACCTTTTAAATTTCAGTTTCTAGAGTCTTCATAATACTATTTGTTTATTTGGTAGTTAAATATTCTTTATAAAAAAACATTGTTGTAAAGATTTATTTTTAAAATATTATGTTAAAAAAAGCATGTAGTGTAAATAAGATTTATTAAATTATGAAATGTGAAGTCATTAAGAGTGATATGTGGATGAAAGAGCCACATATTGTCCCAGAGGTTACAAACCGCTCTACCGAGAAAATACTAAAGTATGTAGTTAAAACAATAAAAATAGGCTTACTTGCTATTTGTAAATGCTTTGCTCTTGAGTTTTGTATGTAATATAATAAGAAGCCAAAGTTTAATACTTATTTTGTGTGCATATAAAACAAAAAAGGGGACCACTCAGAAGATACAGAGACACATTTTAATATATCGTGTTCTTGTAAACTAAAATATTCTCTGTTTGCAGTATTACCATCTTCCTGGATACTACCAGGCTCTGCTCATAACTGGGTTGGTTCTTGTCACAGTGATTGAAGTGATCCGACTCTACCTGGGCTACATTGGCAACCTTAAAGAAAAGGTAACTCAGAGTCACATCCATTCTGAACCACAAGAAAAGTTCTTATGCGACAGTATGTCTCAACATGTATTGTTCCCTGCAAAACTCTTTATTCCCCTTTTAATACAAATCTTAATCTCTAAATTTGAGATGAAGACTGTCTACGTGGTTTTGTGTTCTCGACATGGCTTGTAAGAAATTGCTAACTGGACTTCTGAAGATATTGATTCATCAGTGGCTTTTCTCAGGGATGTAACGGAGGCACTTCATATCTCACTGCTCAGTCTTTCACTCTCATGCACCAGACTCTGTTTCTTTCCTCCCTGTCATCAGGTGCCAGCCCTGGCAGCCTTCTGGCTCCTGTCTTTCACGTTCCAGCTGCCGGTGCTGTTGTTCTTCATCACAGATGAAGGCGTTATCATCCTGCCTCTGGAGAGAGCCGTCCACTCCATCTATCTTATTTTCCTGCTCTCCCAAATCATGGCTTCCTTCTTGGCGCTGAGGACGATGACCCGAAAGCTCACTCTTCTCTTCCACCTGCGGCAGCTTGGCAAGGTGGAGAGCATGCGGCATACAGAGATGAGCCCCATCTACGGGCTTCCCTATAACCGCAGTGTGCTTCCAGTTTCACCCACCCATTAAAGACAGGCAACAGTCTTTCTTACATGACTCTGGTTTTAGTAAAACATCCTCTGTGTGTATTTTTTTTTTACAATGGTAGCGTACTTGCCCACAAAAAGAGTTTGATAAGAAATGACAACTTCAGAGTTAGCATCCTTAGCAATTGACTTGTTTTTATTGTATCCCACAGATTGTATGGGTTGTTCTGCAGTATCTGCAGGTGTGCTTAAATAGATGGTAAACATAGTTTCAGCACCAGTGAAAATGACAAAGGCTGAAATGATGTCAAACTGTCAAAACCTGATTTGGCTTTTAAGGTGAAATGGGAAATATGATCAAACAACAAGGCTCTGATGACAAAAAAACCTTTGTCATTAGACAAAGGTTTTTTTTTTTGTTTTGTTTTTTTTCTTTAATCTTGATGAATGACACAGGATGAAAATTTGCCAGAACCTGATTTTTTGCCAAGGCAGATCTAATTTTTGTCTTGCTCCTTAGACAAGAGTTCAAAGCAACCTGCTCTGGCTTTTCTAAACAAAAGTGTTTTTTCTACAGTTGTGCCATATTTATTGGCAGATCTTTCATTGTAGAAACGTTTGAGTAACAGGAACATTTTTTATTTGAACTGAAGTTGATCAAGGCATCTTAAAAATTGTACTCAGTAATTGAGAACATCCTGTTTCCCCTGTCGTCTTGTGATTTTTTTTTCACTAATTTGAAATCTACTGAAATTAAAGATAAATTTTTCAAAACATGGCAAATTAACCTGATCTTGTTTTGTAACTGAGTAACTGTAGTCAAGTTCAAACTCAACAATGAAAAATGTGTTTTTCTTTTTTTGTTTTTTCCTAAATTAAAACATGTATTTATTTTGATACTTTTCACACATATTCAGCAGAAGTCCAATAAATGTGACCTTGACTGTTTCAGAAATTCATTTTTTTGTCCTAAAGTGGGGAGATTTCGGTTACACCTACATCTTAACCTTAAATTTTGATACACAAGATGCAGGCATAAAAATGTATTGTAGCTGGTGTGGGAAACGATGGAAGCGGTGTTAAATATTTACGACCACACAGTGGCAGTCAGAGATCAAAAGAGGATGGTGACGTCTCTGACGGTGCTGCAAAGTCCAGTGAGGACGGATTATCATGCAGCACATGTTCGGATCAGGAAAGCCTCTGGCAGAGCAAGAAAGGTTAGCCCTGTCTACAGCTGAACATAATGTATTATTAGATGATTAATAACTCTAGGTTGAGCATACAAGGAAATCAATTGAATATCTTGTCATCATGGTGAGTTTTATCCTCTCATTTGAAGACAGAAGGTTGCATGTGTTTCGCTGGTTTTACAATAAGCTGATCCAGCAGCAACTGGTGCCTCAGTATTTTAATTCAGGGCAGAAATAAAGTAGAGAGTGGTGCACTAATATTCAACATGTCGGTTATTTGAGATGCACAGTTTTTGTGAAATAACATGCTTTTTCTGTGCTACTTCACATTCAGGGAACAACAAGCTGCAGTGGTTGTTGGACTGTTCACCGGATGAAATTGAGAGGAAAAACAGTGAAAACAAAGCTGAAACTGTATACTTTATTCATAAGTGCTTTACTCTAAAAGGTTTAGTCACATAAAGAAATGAGATGGAAAACATTGTTTTCTTTATGTTCCAATTTTATAAGCCATGAAATCTGACAAAGTTCAAACATGTTTATTTCCCATTTAAGAAGAAACCAATTCAAATTCCCAAAAGCTATATCCTGGTGTCAGTATCTAATTTGAATTTCATTTGCGTGACCTTTAGAAAGTAAGAGACCGATTCTGGTAATGGACTATCTAGCTGAACTGTGTGCAGGGAGATAAAGAAATGAAGCAACTATGTGAATAATGGAAACATGATATAACTGACTACGTTTCTCTTTGTTGTTGTTGTTGTTGATTATGATTTTGTAGTGCACAGGTTAATTTTCTGCTTGCGGACAACACAGTGATGGCAATTCTGGTTACTTTCAAAAATAAATATTTTGTTTGAATTAACTTCAATAGATTCATACACATGCAATGTCAGCTTAATATGTCCATAAATGTTGTTCAAACAGGGAAGTTTTAAAACTCTTTAAGGAACAACAGATCTCCTAGAAAGGTCTTCTCTCTCTCTCTTTCCAGAAAATGTGGAATTATTTTGTTTTATAATTTTTGCATGTCTGGAAATGTTTTCATATTTTTTGCCATATGTAGTTGTAGTTAAAACAACTACATATGATTTTCTTTATGCCCCAAAAACAGAATGTTTGCTTGCACAGTACATTCAACTTCATGAAAATAAAGTTTTAAACCATGGATGTCAAACATATTTGTCCTTGCAAAGTTGTAGGTAGGCTTTGCCTATGATTAGTGATCATTGGTGGAGAGGACAGGGTGACAAACAACTATGCAGACAAATAAACATTCAGACACAGATTCATTCTAGAGTTAGCAATTGACCAACAACCATGTTTTCAAAGCTAGAATACCTGGAGAACGCCCACATATGTATAGTGAGAACATCAGAGTGGGATTCAATCCCAGAACCCTTTGCTGCAAGGCAACAAGCACCAACTGCATTTTCTCTGGTTCTTTTTCATTGTTTTATTTTACTCATTCACCTACAGTGAAATGTGTACATTCTTTTGTCGTCTGTTCTTAGCTCACAGATGTGTCCACAGTTGACACCATTCTATTATAAAGTGCATTTACAATGAGATGTTTAGGTTATTATTTATATGTGGTGGTTTTGGTGCATTTCAGTTGAAAATAAAAAGGCACATTTAAATGTGCTGCAGTCAGGCTAGGAACAAAGAAGCTTCCTGTGCTAATCACAAGCACCCTTATTTGAATAAATAAGGAAACCTCTGATCCCTTCAGCAATTAGATTTGAGTGGAATGAATTTGTTGGAAGCTGAATTTGATTTTATTTTCCCAAATATTTTTTTTTTTCTTTCCAGCTTCTTTGGCGCAGGTGTGGAGCTGCAGCTTTCTTTCTTACAAACTTGAAGTTAATTTAGAAATAAACCAGTGACAGGTTTAACCCAAAGCAGTTTGAAATGCTTTCTTGAGAAGGCAGGAGACATTAGTGATTTAATAATCAACCCCACAGCAAGAGGAAAGAGTCTGATTAAATGATAGAGAAGGTAGAAGGGGGAGCAAAACTGGCAGCAGCTCAGAGAAATTTCGTCAGAAATATGTCAGCAGGCCAGGGGGAAGGATACAGCTGGGCAACAGCTGCAGATCTAGTAATGAGGTGAGGTCAAACAGGACTCACAAAGTATTTCAGGTGAGTTTTTTTTATGCATGCAGGAAAACAAAGCTGACTGGAAATAATTTTGAATGTTATTTTTTGAATAGAACCAGCTATAAAAAAAAAAAAATAAAAAAAAACAATTTTACAGTCTGATGTTGGATTTGTAATTGTGTGATGAGTAAAGATAAGGGATTTTTATTTAACCAAATTACTGGCGGGCATAGTTTTAGGTTGCCCACTGGTAAGAGACGGAAGGATGAAGGACCCAACAGATTTTAAGAAACTAAGGTTGCTGATCTGGCAAAATTTCACAGCCGACATGGCACAAAATGTAACCAGGAGTAAAAGCTGGGAAGACAGATTCAAAGAGTATTGATAGAAATACAAGTCAACTAATAGGTATAATAGGGGCATGAGGGAGGAGCACAAAAATCAAACCAACTGGAACAGATTGACAGATTATGGAGTTACATTACAAAACAATGTGGAAATTCAGTAATGAAAACAAAACTAAAAGTAATATCAGTATATCACACCGACCAAACAATTTGTCAAAGCTGACAAAGCATTACACTTTATTTTAAATGTAGCATAAGATTTATATTGATTTATCAATTCAGTGCAATGCATCTACACTTAACACTGTGAGACGGTAAGCTATGTGAAGCAGTAAAGTCTTTCACAACCAAATGAAGTGTTTAACACAAATTGTGTACTGACAAGGTCAAAGAGGCTGAGCTTTACAGGGAACATGTATTAACTTCTTTAGCCTGGAAGTGGAGGAAAGCTTAGAGAAACATTCACTTCCATAATCCACAGGGATTTAAAGAGTTGGGGAGGAAATGAGAAAAAAAAAATCTGAGGAAACTTGGTGGAGAAGTGACAGTGGATGGACCCCCTCTGGTGAGAAAAAATGAGAGTACTGGATCTGGAGTAGCCAGACTTTTTATGGTAAAAATACTTAGAAATCAGAGAGACAAGGGGCAGATCTGGATGTAACTGGGAAAAATGAAACTTGTTCACCTTATAATTGACTTATTTAAAGAATTCAGGATTTTAATCTAGTTCTGAGTTGAAGCCAATATTATACAAAGACAAAATAAGAGATTATGGAAAGAAACTGGATATTCCTATTGTGATTTTTATTCAGAAAGTGATGTGCTCTGTGCTCTCCTTCATCTTGCTTTCATCCTACACTCCAGAGATGACTTCGTATTCACCCATTCAGCTTCCTCTACATCCAATATCATTTCTTTTTGAAGCAGGAGAGGATTATCCATCTTCTGATGGAAGAGGACAAAGAAAAGAAACCAGAGACACTCCAGTCACATCTTTAGCATCAGCTCACTTCATCTGCCCCAATCAAATTGCTTCTCTTTGAAGAATGATGAATCACCTTCATGGATAGATACAACTCACAAACTTCAATTAAAAAAAAATATATATATATTAATTGTTGGTCCTTTTTGAGCATCTGCAAGTTTTTGCTGAGGCTTTGTTAACACTTTCTGTCTGTTTCCCAACATACGAGCCCAGCTCAAAATCAGCTGGGCTTTACTGAGCCTCTCATCAGGTTAATTATGTCTGGATACAGCTCAGAGGTAATCACAAAATGTGACCGTAGAGGCTGCGCTAAGCACCGGTGAGAAGCAATATCCAAGACATCACAGGGACATCCTCATGGCTTGTTTCAGTAATCCTTCATGGTGGCTCGCCGCAGCTGCCAAGGCGGCTGGAAATGCTCCTGTCTTCTTAATCCCAGATGGTTACACAAGAAGGGCTAACCCTATTGTCGCTTGCATCCATTCATAAAGTGTGACAGCAAGTTACAAACACACACCGTAATTGTTAAAGGATTAAAACACGGAAATGAAGTCCTGGTTTTCATAGTTACAATGAAATAAATCCAGCTTCATATAAAAATAACGGAAGGATCCCTTCAAGGAGACTTAAACCTGAAAGGCTGACTCATTCATTCATGAACATTAAGACAGATTAATATTTAACATTCAGCTTTTATGATTAATAAAAATACAGAAAAAGATTAGAGCTGTATGTCATATCCTAAAGAGAGCAAACACAAATCAACACCTCAGACATCTGTAAGAGGAAAAACAAAACCGAGAAACCAAACAAACATATTACAATATCTACACATCACTAGACCAATCTCTGCAGTCTTAGCAAAACTGTACCCTGTTTCCATAAGCACTGAAAATAAAATACCCTCTCGGATATTATTATTCAATCGTTCTTACTTCTTCTCCTTGGTATTGTTTTTTTTATTACTTGACACCATTTCTACTACCTGGCTGCTCATACCGTTCAGCCCAGTGTAACCAAACATACCTTTGAAAGACAGAATATTTGCCGAGTTACAAATTCAGATCAATTTTGGGGCATGACATTCAAACCTCATTCTTGAGCCACTTGTGCTGCCTCTACCTTCGCAGCCAGCAGAGAACGTAAGATCACACTGGGAATCAGGGAATATTGAAACTCAGAACTGATATCGACAGCAGGATGTTTTCAATTTGCATCTGATTATGTTGGTGAGGAGGGAATGGAAGGGCAATTCACTTCTGCTGGTAGTTTAAATGTGCATTAAAGCTACAGCGCAGATGAATATTTCATCACTGCTAAATCTGCTATACT